CTGTCATAGAAGGGATCTGCAGCTTTGTCAAACACGAACTTCTTCCAGGCACTGTTGTCCTGCAGCAACGGGATGCCTTGCAGCAGCAGATGTTCTGCTGGCAAGGCCGTGCGCTGCAGCTTGTGGCTCCAGATCCTTGCCATGCACACAAAGCAACACGAAAAAAGACAGGCACTTCCGCAAACACAACGACATCTACTTGAACCAAGCGGCAAGGATCCGCGCAGGAGGCATGGAGCATCGTTTGAGGCCGTGGTCCACTCGTCGGTCTGGGACAAGTCGACCAAGAAGTCGTCCTCCAGGTCGCCCACGGCGTTGGCAGAGAGCTCCTGAAACTTCTGCAGAACGCCTTTCTGCCGCGGAGTCAGCACCTTTGTGAAATCAGATGACGTCAGAAGGCCTTCCGTGTGACAGTGTTTCTGACGAAGCTTGTTTCGGAAGTACTCCTGCACAATGCTTGGTGGCATGGCCAGCAGATCGCTGCCCGTCATGGACGCACAAGCGCCGAAATGAAAATCAAAGTCGGCCTGCGAAGCGGAACAGTGCCATCGACGATGGACTAAAGCTGTGAAACGCCTGGGCCGCCTCACAGGCCACCCAATGTCCACCCTAGGTCGCAAAGACATGGGGCACGGCAAGATTTAGTTGGAATGCTTTCTCCTAGATCAGATTCGGAACGCCGCCCGTCAGTGCACTCGGTACTCGACAGAATCACATGATACATTTCTTTTGCGCCAAGCCACGGTGAAATGCGGAACTCGAAGGCAGTGTACCTCAGCCACCGAGGCACCAACACTCTGCTGTGGGGCTTACGATCAGTTCCATAATAATTGTGACAAAGGCGCAAGTCTTCGATCCCCTCCAGGAGATGCTCCACCTGGAACCTCAGGACATTCTCGTGCAAGACCAAGTCCGGCTGGTGGGCTTTCAGGCCCTCCTTCCACCAAAAGAAAGAAATCTGCGATGGACCCTTGGACTTGAGGGCATGCTGGTTCATCGCTGACCAATCGTAGCAGCAGGTGCCGCTGACTTGGATTTCCAAGCATCTTCGTTGGGCGCACCGGGCAAGACGTGCCTCCGGCGCCAGTGCCGGAACATCTTGCTTGTCCCAGCGACAGAAGACCTTGTGCCCATCCGGAAAGTAACTCGGGAGGTTGCAGTCGACTTCCGTTGCCAAGTTCTGAGTGTGGACGGTAAAGAAAGAAAACATCAAAAGAATCTAGAAAACAGAAAAACAAAGAAAGCCTTACGAGTCGGGCAGATTCAAATCGTACCATGAAACGCAAATAGCACACCGCCATGCCGGGGCGGGGGGTGGGCATGAGGGGGCGCAGGGAACGGGCCCAAATCTAGGAACGTAAGCAACCTGCACCCCACTGTGCGGGTGCAGGTTGCTTACGTTCCTAGATTTGGGGCGGTGCTCAAGGAATTCCTCAACCACGATCAGCGTAATTAACCAGGCACCCCCCGCTGCCAAATTTCCTTCAAGGTTCTTAGCCAGTCACCACCCCCCGCCACCCAGTTGATGCTCATGATGCTGGCCTGGGGCCTGGGGCCTGGGGGGGGGGTGTTTCGACTCGTGAG